ACTCCATGTTTTTCAGCGAAAGCCCAGAAAGCTGACTGATTAAGAGAAGATCTGTGTGGAGGAATGGGCCAAAATCCCTCCTGCAGTGTGTGCGAACCTGGTGAAAAACTACAGGAAATGTTTGACCTCTGGCTACTGTACCAAACATTAATACTAATAATATTGACTAATAATATTAACTAATATTGATTTTCTCAGGGGTTTAAAAACTTATTTGCAGCTGTATCACACAAATAAATAGTTAAAAGTCATAGATTGTGATTTCTGGATTTTTTTTTTTAGATTATGTCTCTCACAGTGGACATGCACCTATGATGACAATGTCAGATACTTCCATGATTTCTAAATAAAACTTGCAAAATGTGTCCTCAGATACTTTTTTCCCTCACTGTATGTGGTTTGATTTTATTGTATGTGTGGATTACATACATCTGGTGAAAATATCATGTCAATAGCAGCCATATAAATATATTTACTGAGAAAAATGTTTGCATATATACAGTGTTGGGAAAGTTCTCTTTCTACGTGAACTAGTTCAAAGTTCAGTTCACACATTTTAAAATGAACTAGTTCAATTCAATTCAATTCAGTTTATTTATATAGCGCCAAATTCACAACACATGTCATCTCAAGGCACTTTACAGTTCAACCAGATCATACAGTCAAATTGATACAAAGTTTTCTATCTAAGGAAAACCAGTTGATTGCATTGACTCATTGACTCAAATACAATCCCCCACACTAAGCATGCTTGTAGCGACAGTGGAGAGGAAAAACTCCCTTTTAACAGGAAGAAACCTCCAGCAGAACCAGGCTCAGTGTGAGCGGCCATCTGCTGAGGCCCACTGGGGTTCAAGGAGACAGAAGCAGAGATACAAAAAGCAGCTGTAAAAGGCGGCCCCGTCCAGGAAACACACAGCCAGGCAGACGAGCTCCAAGGCAGCTCCCATGCCAGAGGACGAAGAGAGCACATCCACTCAGTCACGGTCAGAGAAACAGGACCACACTGGAAAACAGGCCGATCTCCAACATCTATTAACAAGGGTGTTGATAGAAGCAGCACAGCTGATGTTTTTTTTCCAGGATGACGTCACAGCCAAACAGGAACAGACGAGGCAAAGCTACTCTGAGGAAAAGCAGAGAGAGCAGAAGGTTAGAGATTGAACTAACAGATTCTGCAGAATAGGAGAACAGAGAGAGAATGAAGCAGAATGATGAAATGGGGGTCCCTATGTCCTCCAAAAGTCTAAGCCTATAGCAGCATAACTATAGAGATAGCTCAGGATAACCTGAGCCACTCTAACTATAAGCTTTATCAAAAATGAAAGTTTTAAGCCTAGCCTTAAAAGTAGACAGGGTGTCTGCCTCACGGACTAAAACTGATAGTTGGTTCCACAGGAGAGGAGCCTGATAACTAAAAGATCTGCCTCCCATTCTACTTTTAGAAATTCTAGGAACCACTAGTAAACCTGCAGATTGAGAGCGAAGTGCTCTGTTAGGAACATAAGGAACAATCAGATCTCTGATATAAGATGGAGCTTGGCCATTTAAGGCTTTATATGTGAGAAGGAGGATTTTAAATTCTATTCTTGATTTAACAGGAAGCCAATGAAGAGAAGCCAGGATAGGAGAGATATGATCTCTCTTTTTTATTTTCATTAGAACTCTGGCTGCAGCATTTTGGATCAGCTGAAGGCTTTTAACTACAGTTTGTGGACTTCCTGATAGTAAAGAATTACAATAGTCCAGCCTTGAAGTAACAAATGCATGGACTAGTTTCTCAGCATCACCCCTGGACAGGATATTTCTAATTTTTGCAATGTTCCTCAGATGAAAGAAGGAAATTCTAGAGTTCAGTTCATAGTTCACAATTCCAAAAAACGAACTAGTTCATAGTTCTTTTTTTCATTTTTTTTTTCATATATTGCTCAATTACACCATAGCCTACTGTAGAACCACAGACAGCAATTATTTTATCAGTTGTAACACTGAAACTGTGCGTCAGATTTCATCTTCATATCCAGTTTTGAATCCTTATCCAACCAGGGTTTACATTAGCATTGAGGGGACAGCATTTCCCCATTGTTGCTTTAACGCTTTGTTGCTGTCCATTCACTTCACACTAGTAGCAGCTGCAGCTTTCACCCCTACAGTATATTCTCAAAAACATCAGGAAAAATGTGCTACTTGAATGGTCTTTTTTATGAGTAATTATTAAAAGAAAAATAGGAAAGTAGTCTTTAAGGTGCAAATGTTTTTTTTTATTTTAATAATTTTTTCCATTTGAAATTCCATTTCAATACATACTAAAAAGGAATACTGGAATCCTGGAAAATTATACCAGGCAGGTTTAACAAACAAGTTACATGGATAGTAAAACCCTCAAGAACAGGGGTCTTCTATGTTTTCCAGACCAAGGACCCCCAAACTGATGGTGAGATGGAGCGGGGACCCCTATTTATAAATATTGTATGAAATTGTGTCCTATAGTCACTCTATTACAGATAGAGTAATGTAAAGAAATGAATTTCTCCCTGGGATTATTAAAGTTTTTCTGATTCTGATTCCTGGTTGTTGTGAAGGAAACGGTGCCCAGCTTGAAAGAGCTCCTGTGTGTCGCTGAATGTGAGCATTGATGACTGAAAGACATCTTCTGCCTCCATTTATCTGTTTACTACAGTGTGTTGATTTCATGTTAATGAGTATTTAAAGACATTTCAATAAGTGGGAAAAAAAATGCAGGGGGGGAATATAAAAATATCAACTAACCATGCAGACCCTCATGCAGTACCTCCGTAGACCCCCTAGGGGTCGCGGATCCCCTGTTGAAGACCTCCGCTCAAGAAGATTTTACTAACACAAACTGAGGGACCAGGCTGAGGTAGGAATTTAAGGTTACTGAAGTGCGGATTTTTTTACTGAAAGCCGGCGGGCAAACTTGTTGCCATCATCCTCACCGACCACCTGGTCATAAAACTGTTTTAAGTCGCCTCCATGCTGCTGTGGCTTCCACGCTGCATTTTGTTTTGATGACGCACGCGGCTGTAGGCTACGACGCTGGTAGCTGCTGTTGCCAGATTGGGTGTTTTTCCCGCTACATATTAAGGCCTGTTTACGGTGTGATTTAGCCGGGGTTTCGCCTGGAGGACTCTATAGAAATCTGGCAACCTATTGAACGGAGTTGAACTGAGAGACCGTGCCGTTCACAGACACCAGAATGAACGAGTTCACAATAACGTTCATCAGGCAATAATGCAGTACGTTCAGTTCACGTTCGCCCAAAATATGAACGAGTTCATGAACTTTCGTTCAATGAACGCGTTCAGGCACAACACTGCATATATACATATATACATTACCGTTCAAAAATTTGGGGTCACATTGAAATGTCCTTATTTTTGAAGGAAAAGCTCTGTACTTTTCAATAAAGGTAACTTTAAACTAGTCTTAACTTTAAAGAAATACACTCTATACATTGCTAATGAGGTAAATGACTATTCTAGCTGCAAATGTCTGGTTTTTGGTGCAATATCTACATAGGTGTATAGAGGCCCATTTCCAGCAACTATCGCTCCAGTGTTCTAATGGTACAATGTGTTTGCTCATTGGCTCAGAAGGCTAATTGATGATTAGAAAATCCTTGTGCAATCATGTTCACACATCTGAAAACAGTTTAGCTCGTTACAGAAGCTACAAAACTGACCTTCATTTGAGCAGATTGAGTTTCTGGAGCATCACATTTGTGGGGTCAATTAAACGCTCAAAATGGCCAGAAAAAGAGAACTTTCATCTGAAACTCGACAGTCTATTCTTGTTCTTAGAAATTAAGGCTATTCCATGCGAGAAATTGCTAAGAAATTGAAGATTTCCTACAACGGTGTGTACTACTCCCTTCAGAGGACAGCACAAACAGGCTCTAACCAGAGTAGAAAAAGAAGTGGGAGGCCGCGTTGCACAACTGAGCAAGAAGATAAATCCATTAGAGTCTCTAGTTTGAGAAACAGACGCCTTACAGGTCCCCAACTGGCATCTTCATTAAATAGTTCCCGCAGTAGCCTGTGTAATGATCTGAGCGCTAATGATCTTGGCTTACTTACAAATTTTATTCACCTGTCTAACTCTGCCCGGTTGCTCATTACTGCTCTTTTTGATCGACCTGCTCCAGCTTCTATTTAGCCTGCCTGCTACCGTTCATCAATGCCAGATTATTCGAGCCTTCGGTAGGAGCTCTCTTGCCAGTGTTATCAGGCTAGATTATCTCTCGAGCCAGTGCTGAGAGCGTTTTCAGTGTTAACTTTTTCTGATTACCCGATCTTGATCTGTTCTGCCTCTCTACCACTGAGCCTGCCTGCTCCAACCTGTTGTGTTTGCCTGAACTGTATATGGACTCCTGCTGGATTCTTCCTGTTTGCTGAACTTGGGGCTGCTTCCTGTCACCTTTCTGGATTTCCCTTCGGAACCTCTACGGACTTCTGATCTCCTTGTTCTGAATCCTCAGCACGTCTTCGGCGCCGGCTTTGGCTTCTTGTTGGCAGCTGACCGTCTGGATTCAACCATGTTCTCTGGGCACAGACTGAACTATAAAACCAGAGGTTCCTGACTTGGACGTCCTTGCTGTGTCTGTAGAACCACCATTTTAAAATAAACCCTTTTGAATTATCCGACTGTCTGTCTGCCTTGAATACAGGGTCCTCTGTTCTGAGCCATGACTAGTGGCCTCCTGCTGAGGCCAAGAGGGCCTCAAGGAGACCTGATCTTCTTGTGGTGTCTTCTAAAATTTGTCCATTTCATTATTTAAACGATTAAAAACTCATGTAATATCTCTGTCTTTAGTTAATCTTTTAACCTACAGACAGGTTGGAATACATGATGGGGCCAGATTGGAAAAGGCTGTATTGTCTCACAGTGGCTAGATTTGAGTGAGACAAGAGACTGAAAGACTGAGATTAATGAGGAGAACAAACATATGAAAGTTAAAACATTTGCAGTAAAGCCCTCTCTGAGAGGAAATCTAATGTTAATAAAAAATAATCAAACAGTGAAAAACTTTATGTCCTGTTAGGAGACCAAAAACAAAGAGTCAGATGCAACTTTTTTCATTCCTCACAGAGACACAGGGGTTAACTTCAGAACACAGCAACTCTTACAACATCTGACCTTTTGCAACAACACTTCACTAAGGATAAAGCAACAGGTATTTAGCAAATTCAATGAATCAATTCTGCTCAGTTTAATCCATGTTTACCCCATTTAAAGGTCTACAGAGCAGGAAGTTATAGCCGTGTTTATTTAACCACTTAAAAAATGCAAACTGCCATCATCAGAGATTGAACCACATTCAGGTGGTAGGGGGTAAGGACGCTTCCGACAGGTAGGAAGTCTAGTGAAAGCCCGAAACTCATTGTGAACCCGCTGATCGTTGATGCAGAGTGCGCCTCCGAAACGCTTGAACTGACTTATGGCCCTATTCACATCAGCGATGCAGGTCCAGTGTTTGTTCTGATCCACAGCTACACACCACTTGGAATGGTCTGCCGTAGGCTTCCATGCTCCAAGAGAACTGATAGATAACTCTTCGACGTTGGTGACTTTAAAGTCTTCTCTGGGACAGTAGTCCTCCGTGCGGTCCCGCTGGCAGCCCCAAGTCTGGACGTACACGTCACTCCTGAGGTTCTTTGCAATGCTGATGTACAGATCTCCAACTGCAAGAACAAAAGACATGATCAGGTGTTTCCAGCTATTCTCTTCTCCTCTCCTCTATCCGCTTTTGGTATGAATGCACCATTACCTAACTGAGTTCTATCACTTTTAGTACGGTGGCCCTAAAGTGCAAACTGCAACTACAAATCTAAAAGCGCAACTACATTAAGGAAATCACAACTACATAAAGCAAAGTGCAACTACATTAAGGAAATCGCAACTACATAAAGCAAAGCGCAACTACATTAAGGAAATCGCAACTACATAAAGCAAAGCGCAACTACATTAAGGAAATCGCAACTACATAAAGCAAAGTGCAACTACATTAAGGAAATCGCAACTACATAAAGCAAAGCGCAACTACATTAAGGAAATCGCAACTACATAAAGCAAAGTGCAACTACATTAAGGAAATCGCAACTACATAAAGCAAAGTGCAACTACATTAAGGAAATCGCAACTACATAAAGCAAATCGCAACTACATTAAGGAAATCGCAACTACAAAAAGCAAAGCGCAACTACATTAAGGAAATCGCAACTACATAAAGCAAAGCGCAACTTAATTAAGAAAAACAAAACTACATAAAGCAAAGGTCAACTACATTAAGGAAAACACAATTACATTAACCTACCGGAAAAGGTAGGTACCAGTGGGAAACATGAGACATCGCTGATTGATTCTGCCTGCTGCGGCTTTTGAAAACATGGATACTAACTGAAATTTCGTGATTAGTCTTGAGCATATCCAGTATCACCTCGTACGTATGTCCTGATTCAAAATATTCCTGGATAACGGCAGCTATGTTTGGGGCGCCGACAATATCCAATTTTTCAAAAGCCGCAGCAGGCAGAATGACTTCCGGTTCAAGGGTCAAACGGCGCCGTCGTCCAATCAGTCTCATGTTTTCCACTGGTACCTACCTTTTCCGGTAGGTTAATGTAATTGTGTTTTTCTTAATGTAGTTGCGCTTTTAGATTTGTAGTCGCAGTTTGCACTTCAGGGCCACCGTACTTTTAGTGTCTTGGTACAGCTTTGATGTGAGAATTACAAGATCAATTCGTTGTTGTATGATAAAAGCAGGGAATCTCACCTTCTTCATCTCTGTCTTCTGAATTTGCTTTAGAAAAAATTTTAAACTCTTTCCTTCTAAAAGTCAGGGATTCAACAGTATAGTCGGGAATGGCTGGTGTAGCTCCTTCTGTCCACTTCACAGCATCTTGAAGCTCTCGATGAAAATCATTCGGAATATAATGTTCAAATGGAAATATATGGATTTTCTTTAGATGTCTTCCTGAAAATAATAAAATTATTACGACATTGTTATTATTATAAAAGTCAGTCTCTTTGTATTAGGTCTTATTTCTGCAGTATTTTCAGGGAGCTAATACCTATTGCACTGAACTGGTCGTAGTTAAATGTCACACAAATGTAAGTCTGAGCGTTTTTGTTTCAGCTTTGAGGCCAAAAGCTGCTCTGTTCTCTTCTGAAAGGGAACTGTGGAGTGCTGTGCAAGAGCCAGACTCCCGTACTGGTTCTGTCCACCATCACAACTCCTGCAGGAAAGAGAAAACACAGAAGATTTGCAATGTTTCACTGTCACAGCAAGCAGATCACACCAACTGTAGGGCACAAATATAATGCATATTATGTTAAGTGTACTCAAGAAATTGATCTAGTGATGACCGCCTAAGATTAAGACAAATTCAACTTTTTCATATTTTTAAGTTTGAAAATGTTTAAAAAACTGTGTATATCTATTGCGTTTCTACTGTTTTAAAACATCCAGAGCCTTGTGTACCAAAGTGCCCAGTAGAAAAGTACAGCAGGAGAAGCTGTTTGAAAGTGCTTCTTGACAGTTATGCTACGTTCATAAAATATTTTCATATTATTGCAGTATTGGGAAGTACCCCCAACAGCCATTGCTTCTAACAGGTTATGCTGCTAATGCAGTTTCTCTGAAGTTTATCAAGCTGCTCTACATAAGGCTGGCTGCGCTGCAGGTGGAGAAAGGGAAATACAGAACCTGAATCTTCTCCTCTGCACATGTTCAGGCAGCAGCGCCATCACTTTAAAGGAATAGTACACCCAAAATATGATTAGCCTTCATTTTCTACTCACCCCCATGCTGAACAACACTCTGGAGTACTTTTTTGATATCTCAAATGCATCTGGAGATCTGGGAGGCTTCTTGCTGTCTGCTGACATTCAAATAATGGAGGTCTATGGCGCCCGAATGCGCACTTTCATCTGGTTTGGTCTGCCGCGGTTTCCTGAGCGTCGTGAACGCGCTTTTAGGAAATCCTATACACTACTGTTTATGCTCTAAAAACATTCTAAATGACTTCGTTTCGAGTAAATTCTGGATGCTACCCACTCAGGACACTTGGAATACATTGGACGAGCAGTATGGAGGAATATTGACACGGTTTTTGTGGACTTTTATGGACCTTTCTGCCTCGGGCGCCATAGACCTCCATTATTTGAATGTCAGCAGACAGCAAGAAGCCTCCCAGATCTCCAGATGCATTTGAGATATCAAAAAAGTACTCCAGAGTGTTGTTCAGCATGGGGGTGAGTAGAAAATGAAGGCTAATCATGTTTTGGGTGTACTATTCCTTTAAATACGTCACACAAGTAAAAATCTATAAATGGAACCAAATGCAACCGCAGCAGGTATAGAAAGCCGAATGTCCCGCATATTTAATAAATTAACACCTGAGAACATCTCTATTTGTAAATGTAAACATTTAAATAAATAAATAAAATAATTTTTTAATGCTTGATAAATACTCATTTAATTAACTATACAATATGTTTCTCTTGCTTCCAAAAAAGGTTACTTAAAAAATTTAACATTTTAGGGAAGAACTCATTCAAAGATTGATCAATCACGACAATGTGTGTGTGTATGAATTAATTGTCCCCGTCTTGTCGATTCTTTGTACGTTAACGCTCCAGATCTATAAATATATTCGCTGTGTGCCTCATACAGCATGTATTTGTGAAGAAATACTTGCTAATGATCTGTAGACCAGATGCACCAGTTAAGTGATCTTCATTAGTGTCTCTAGTAAGGGATCCAATGGTCTGGAGTATTTTAGTGTGGGGGGAAGAGATCAGCAACAGTTCCTGTTGCTGTCCATCAGTCCAAAGGTTTACCTTTGCTGTGTCCAAACTTTTTCGGATCTGCGCTACATCCTGGAGGTTGGTCACTATAGCTGATGAATCCAAAGCTGGGCTCCTACAAAAGATGAACAAATAAAACCTTCATCATCCACTCAAAGTTGACAGATCCTACAGTTCTACATTTTTTGTTCAAGGTTGAAAAAGTCCACTCTAGGCAGCTGGACATAAGGTTTTCTACAAGACGTTTCTCCTTTCATCTTCTTCAGTTCTAACTAGTGGTGGGCAGCACTGAGATTAATTTACTCTAAGTGGAACAAAGAATTAGGGGGGTGGCTTTGATCCCTACTACTGGATTGGCCATGGAGGTCAACTGGGAGGTGTTAATGGTTGTTAGGGGCCTCTGATAGGTAACTCTAATCAGAATATTTCCAGTCATATGCCGCATTGAAGTGTGAGTCAGGTGGGGGCAGGTGAGAGGAGAATCTTCTTGGTATTTTTCCTAAAAGCGCTTTGTAAGTAGATGAAAGGCTAAGTCTAAGACCACCTCCTCTGTTGAGAGATGGTTTTTCCGGGTTAACGAATGAGGCAGTATGCCCTGTGGGCTCTGAACACGCCCCAAAAGTGCCTGAATTTAATTGGTTGTGGCGCTGTCTATATATAAAGGGCCTTCCCTCAACTGGTCATAATGTTTTCTTTCGGTTCAGACCTCCGTGTTTCCTGGCGCAGTGCCTGAATGATGCGCTTGACAGTCTAATCCATGAATGAACCTTCTTGTGGTAAGAATTTTCTCACACCTTTAATGTCGGTTAGCCTAGCTTTAGCTCAGCTTTATCTGTATATCCAGGTGGCCCTTACAAGCTGCGGATTCTCCTTCCTGCCAGAGGCACTACATAGAGCTCAGTGGTAAGTGAAAAGCTCATTCTTTGTACGCTTCCAGATTCTATTTTTTGACGTATGTTTATTAGATGCTGCTTTTTGTCCTTGGCCAGCTGTTTGCCTGTTGTTCCTGGCTGGCGGCCCATCTGTGAGTAGTGCGAGTAGTTTGAAATTAGTATATTGTCCCGACTAGAATGATAACAATTGTGCAATAAATAAAAGTATTGAATTGGGTGAAATTGTTTCAAGCCTCATCTTTAGCTGATATCCATGCCTTAAAGGCAAGTGGAATTATTGCAACCTTATATTTATTAATTTAGTGGTGTTAGGGTTCTGTTTGTGGGGAATGTTTTTGTGTTTTCTTTTTAGTTTCACCTCCTACCCACTAGATGGTGCCCTTTCCCCTGTTTGGCCTGGAGGGCCTCTTACTGTCCCCCCCCCCACACCTGTGGCTCGTTGGGTCATCACCAGAGGAGTATTTGAGCAGCAGACTGTCACCACCTCGACGCCAGAGTGTTTGCCAGTATTGGGTACTCTAGCCTCACTAAGTTTAGCTGAGTCTAACCTTTTAGTCTTTGCCTCTCTGAGTCTTAGTTTTTTTTTAACCTTTTTGTCTCTTTGTGTTCTCCGCCAGGTTAAACCCCCAATCCACTGGATAAGCCTGGTCCTTCTCCCCTTGGAAGGAATAATTCGTCTCACACTGAACAAGGGAAAACCTTCACCTGATCCGTTCAAGTCCTCCTCAAGAAAGTCTGTGACAGTCCGCTCTGCTGCTCCTCTGGACCCTCCATTAGTCTGCCTGTCCGCCCACCAACAAGTAACCATCATCTCTGGACAATTCGCCCACAAACTGGACCCAAGGATCAATGAAGAACCATACTACGTGAGTCAAAACTGTTCCATTCATCTCCGTTGATCAATTTCCATACAGACCTTGAACTCATCTCTGTGATCGCCCCCCTAGAGTTTCTGGTTGCGGTTCACCTGACCACAGGATTCCTCCCATCTTAGAATAACCTGTTTTCTCTATCTCTCTCTGAGTTTTGTAAACCTCACCAATAAACTGTTAACTTTTTCCGTGCCTCTGAGTGGTTATCTGCATGTGGGTTAGATCTTTGAGACCCATCATAACAATGGTCTTAAATTCAAGTTGCCCATTTGGATCACAGTGGTACCGCCACACAAAGATGGCTTCCTTAACCCCTCTCTTAAACCATCTGTCTTCCTTTGGATGAATATGGATGCTGTTGTCCTCAAACGAGTGTCCTTTAGCCTTCAGGTGTAGGTGAACAGTTGAGTCCTGTCTCGAGGAGTTGGCCCTTCTGTGTTGAGCCATATGCCTGTGTAGCGGTTGCTTGGTCTCTCCAGTGAAAAGGTCTGTGCACTCTTCACTACACTGATTGGCGTAAACCACGTTGTCGGTCTTGTTTCTGAGTGTCTTATCTTTTGGGTGAACCATTTTTTGTCTCATGGTGTTGCTGGGATCGAAGTGCACAGGGATCCGGTGCTGGTTGAAAATCCTGCTGAGTTTTTCAGAGACACCAGCAACATAGGGAATGGCGATGTTCCTTTTTCTGTTCTCTTCCTTCTCAGCAGACTTCTTCTTGTTGGTTTGAAAAAACCCCATCTGGGAATAACCAGAGTTTTTCAGGGAAGTCCCAATGTGTCCCTGTTCTCTCATCTTCCTTCAGTTGGTGGTGGGAATGGTTTCTGCTCATCTCTGAAGGGTTCTGATGATGCCTAGTTTGTGTTCCAGTGGATGGTGTGAGTCAAAGCGGAGGTACTGGTCAGTGTGCGTGGATTTCCTGTAGACTTCTATGTTGAGTTGTCTGTCTTCCATGATGTGAAGTGTGCAGTATAGGAAAGCAAGGCTGCTATCTTTCACATCTTCCTGGTTAAACTGGATGTTTCATTACAGTCGATGTGTTCTGTAAATATGTTGATCTTTATTTTGACCCATGTGTCATCGACGCATCTCAACCAGTGACTGAATTTTGTTTACTGCCCTGCTTTCCAATTCTTCCATGTATAAAAATGGGAGACTATTGCTTGAGAGACACAGGAGACTATGGGAGACACAGGAGAGACCATCACATCCATGTTTCTGCATGTAGAAATCTTGTTTGAATTGGAAGTATGTGGTGGTGAGGAACAAGTCCAAGAGATAAAAGATGCGGCCAGTCGTCAGATTGGTCCCGTCTACCAGAGTGTGCTCTTGAAATAAATGCATCCTTACTGTGGGGACTGCTTCTTTGATAGGGATGCAAGTAAGAATAGATCTGACATCATGGGAGACCATCAGAGCCCCCTAAGGACCATTAACACCCCCCATGATTGACTTCATTGTTCAATCCAGTAGGAGGGATCAGAGAAACCTTTTGTTTTTCTCCTAATTTTTGGTTCCCCCTACTGTATATTTATCTCAGTGCTGCCCACCACTAGTTAGAACTGAAGAAGCCTCTTAGATGAGAGCAGAAACGTCTTCTAGAAAACTTCATGTGCAGGTGCCTAGACTGAACTTTTCAAGCTTGACCATGACCTGGATGACTGAGAATCTTCATAAAGTTTTAGTTCGACCAACAGTGCAGTAAAGAGCCAGTGTTTTAGTGCAGCTCTGAGAGACTCACCATTTCTCTGATTGGTTTGAAAAGAGGCTGAAGCGTTCTTGCAAGTACACCTTGGGGGCTGTTGATGTTGTTCAACCTTTCCTTTTTTTCTGGATCGATGTAAAGAAATTCTGAACCAGTGAGGCGTGAAGAAGACATTTCAGGTGCCTTATATAAAATATACCTGAACAAAAAGAAAGACATCAAGAGATGTTTCAGCAACTACAAATTAGGTCAAAGTCATGATTTTTTTGGTTGTCATGAATTCAGTTGTCTTTTATTTAGTGACAGAGTGACGCGGTAGCTGTTTCTCAATATGCATCTAATCTGGCATTATTACACCATCAAAGTAGACCTATGTACCCTACTGTACAAACACGATCTTCAAAGATTCCAAGTAAATTGCACTAAATTGCATGTTCATTTTTTAGTAAGTAAGCAATTAATGATTGATCTACAAACGATGCTAAACAAATTTTAAGACATGCAAACCGATTTGTTGCCACCTATTAAAAGGAGACATATATTTAACAGTTTAGGAGTGGCTGTAAAAGAAAGATGAGGTTCAAAGCCATGGAAATGGAAGTAATACCGATATTAGGTGTAAAAAATAATATGATGATTATTATAGTGCCCCGATGTCAGAGTGCTAGAGACAAAAATCTTTATTTCCAAAAGGCCTCATTATTGAAAGTCTAAAAACAGAAATGCACATATGGATTAACTATTATCAATAGATTAAATCTAGTCTGCATCTGCATCTGAATTGAATTATTTATTTATTTTATTTTTTAATTTATTATAGTAAAAAGCACAATTCTATTCTGCACCCTTCTAGACATTCTGTGGCTATATTATTTATTAAAAATGTATTATTTGATAAAAAAAAGTTTAACCATGACCTTTAAATTAAAATAACACAAGCTCTTTGGACAAGCAATCCTTAACTCTTCCTCAATTTATTTTTATTTAGAAACTCCATTCCCACCTGGCCCTCATAATGTCTAATATGATCACCTGTATTTTACAACATCAGTGATTCCATGGAGAATTTGCTTTTGAAAATATTCTAGAGACATCTTTAGACCTGGAAGTTTCTGGGTTTTATGCCAGATGAAATTTGCCTTTGAAAATATTCTAGCACTGCAAAAACGATCTAGAAATAAGTAAATATTTCTTAAATTAAGTGTATTTATCCTTATTTCAAGTAGGTAAATGAAATTGTTTGCCAATGGAATGAGTAGTTTTGCTCTTAAAATAAGATAATTAGATAAAATGCATTTGAAATAAGACAATGCAATTGTGTTTACTTATTTTAAATGTATATTGTCTTGTTCCATTGGCAAAATGTCTCTTTTACCTCCTCGATTCAAGAAAAATTGCACTTATTTAAAGAAAAAATTACTTATTTAGATTTCGATTTTTTCCAGTGAGACATCTTTAGACCAGGGAGTTTCTGGATTTTATGCAGGTTAAAATCTGTTCTACTGGGTCTGTAATTAGGCACAACAAAAGGTCCGACAGTCTGCTTCAGTGCAGCTGCCAGAGAGAGGAGTGAACTTATGAACTCTGAAGAAATACCTTATTGATCTGGGATGAACATAGAAACACTCAAAGCCCCACACCCCTGCAGCATAAAACAATAGCAATGCCATCATTGAATCATACAGCTTGCACTGGAAAAAAATCAAAATCTACATAAGTCATTTTTTTCTTAAAATAAGTGCATTTTTTCTTGAATTTAGGGGGTAAGTGAGACACTTACAAATTCATTATCATCTTATTTCAAGTGCATATTATCTAATTATCTTGTTTTAAGAGTATATATCCTCATCCCATTGGCAATTAATCTCATTTACCTACTCAAAATAAGGGTAAATATATTTAATTTAAGACATTTTGACTTATTTCTAGATTGTGTTTGCAGTGTGCACCGGAAAAAACGATCTAGAAATAAGTAAAAATATCTTAAATCAAGTGTATTTATCCTTAATTTGAGTACCGATAGGTAAATCTGATGGTTTGCCAGTGGAATTATTATTTTTACTCTTAAAATAAGATAATTAGATATTATGCACTTGGAATAAGACAATGCAATTGTTTTTTTCTTATTTTAAGTGTAAATTGTCCTGTTCCATTGGCAAAATGTCTCTTTTACCTCCTAAATCCAAGAAAAATTTACTTATTTTAAGAAAAAATTGCTTATCTAGATTTCGATTTTTTCTCCAGTTTGGTAAATATATTGAATCTTAAAAACAGACAGCTAATTTCTCTTAGATAAAACAACTTTTTTACCAATATTACTGGATGATCTGATTTAATTGTCTCTGTAAAGAGCTTTGAAATAAGTTATGTTTTAAATTGGTGTTGCAGAAAAAAGATATTGACTTGAATTTATTTTTATTTTATCCCATTATTGACTGAACATACAGTCACACCAGCAGCCTCTGCAAATTCAATCTACCTCCAGAAAAATAGAAGATTGTGGCCGTAATAAAATCTATAATCCCTTTAATTATCAGGACTTTCTAGGAAGAGAAAATATGAGTATTTTCCACTACTAAATTTACAGCCTCCATTTAATCAACCAATCAGTCGTTAGGTCCAGCTTTTTTTGTTATTGAATTATTTTCTCTGTAAGTAAAGCAAAATAAGCAACATAATGATGCCATTAGAGTCCCACTCATTACCCAATTAGTTTTTTAATTTGATGGACCAAGCTGTTCTCATACCCTTCACCTGCAAACAGGAAATCAGCCTTTTATACGATGCGGTACAGAACTTAGTAACCTAGAAAGGTCTCTTTTTGAAATGATCAAACCACACAAAGGTGCTTTTTACCTTCATGCAATTTTTCTCTCACTCTAACAAACAAACATAAATGTCTTAAATATATTTTATGAGTTTATAAAATCCAGTCAGCTCACCCACCATAATTTGATTAAAATACATGTTAGGAAGAAAGTGTGTTAATAAAGACTACTCACCAGTCAACGTCATGGCCATCATTATTCTTGCAGGTCACAGAGCCGTGGCAGCTGGAGCAGAATAAAATAAACAGCAGCAAGAAGCTCCACATCTTACCTGAAACAGAGAAAAAAACATCTGCAGGAAGGTTTTCTCTCTTTTTATCACATCTGGAAACTTTAAACAATCCACTTTTTTAGGGGATAGAACCATTTATTGTAAATGTCTGATCTGTGTCCCCAGAACCTTTCTGTGGTTTTCAAAGGACCGGATCTCCTGGATGGTTCGAGTTTTTTTGTTGTTTTTTTTTTGGACTTTAGCTGTTTGATATCAGGTTTTAATTTGAGGTTTCTTCAGGTTAGGACCAACTAGACCAGGCATCCCCACAGCTGGTCCTGAAGGGCCGCTGTCCTGCAGGTTTTAGAGATTTCCTGCTTTAGCTCAGCTGATTCTGATGATTTCAGTTCAGCAAAATCCTATCGATGTAAATCAGCTGTGCTGGAGCAGAGAAACCTCTATAACCTGCAGGACAGCGGCCCTCCAGGACCTGGACCATCCAAACAATAGAGCCGTTGTGATGTCGTATTGTTCTGGGTATTAATCATGCTTCAGTAATGCTGATGGAAATGGTTTCTCCTCAAACGCTAATTTCCTCAGACTGCTCCTCTTTCTATCAGTCCTAAATGCATCAAATAACTTGCAGCTCTATGTCCTGCATGTTCTAAGACGGACCTACAGGAACCTCAATAAGAAAAACTTCTCCTGAACATTTAAGAAGCCAAAAGAAGCAGAAATAACTGTGGAGCTCATTTATCTTTAACACTCTTCTCTAATAAATTGTGAATTTCTGCTGAATGTTAGAATATAGTAAAACCAGAGAAATCACCTACAGTTAGACATGTTTCTGGGCTCCTCCGGTGTCTGCTGTCTCTGTCTGTCTCTCTGAAACTAAGTCCTGTTGCTGTTTTTATTCCTCTTTGTGACCCTGACCCAGTTCAGATTACTGGGCTCAAAGCCATATACACAGAAAGACAAATAAAGTTTTCTGTCAGTAACATCAAAACATCAGCTGTCCTGTTTGTCTGTGAGGACAGACCATGAAACACGTCAGGAGGATTATTTTGAGATGGTTGCAGGGTTTCATGTCTGTTGTTTTGATGTAAGAGCTTTTAGGACACCATGGAGACAGGAGATGTCGCTGAAATTTAACAATAAGGTTTATAGAGAGTGAAAACACCAGAACCTCTGAATTCTGCTCATCCATTCATTTTCTGTTCCCTGAAAAAGCCTGCTGGGGTCACGAGAGGTGGTGGTACCCATCTCCAGCTGTCTACGGGCGAGAGGCGGTGGCTACCCGAGACAGGTCTCCAGTCCATCGAAGGAGTACTGCTTAGAGTTCTGTAAATATATCTATTTCATAAAGATAACACGGATATTAACAAATCTAGTTAAAGTTCTTGTATGTTTTGCATATATGGGGTGTGCAGACATCAGCGACCTGTTCTCTATCAGCAGAGCCACCTTTGAACTGCAGCTTTCGGTAAATATGTCCTTCTGAATTGAGCTGAACCAGGTCTGGGGTTGGACCATGATGTGTTTGATCTGGGTCAAAAGGGAAGATCTGAGACTCCATCCAAACAAAACAGACCGAAAATCAGAATTTGGACTCTGACACTGTAATGGTGTAATGTTCTTCATGCCATGCAGGAAGCCCTGTTTTTCTTCCAACTGGTGAGATAACAGCTTGCTTTCTAAACAAAACCACACTTAAAATCTTATTTAGATATGTATTAACAAGGAGCAAATTTTTAGCCTCGTGAGACCATCCTGATCTCGCGAGCTTTCAAGGTTTCACTCGCAGATCAGTCTGGAGACTCTCCGTTAAAGAAAATTTGGAGCCGTTCACCAAACGAACGTCCAATCAGCGTTGGCTTTGAGGCGGGTTGAGGTGTGACGCAACCAGTGGCGGCCGGCCCATAGGGGGCGCTGGGGCACCGCCCTCCCTGATAAGAAGAGAGAAACGTAAAATATATTTTTAGAAATTAAATCATAAATGTCAGTTTTACTCTCTAGACTGTGTACCTATAAGCAAAACAAATTATATAAACTACATTTCCCTATCTACTGTCATTAATTTGTGGATTTCCACAGACAGACTCCTACCGTCTCTGTTCTGGGGGCGCTGATCAGACTGACCCACATTTGCAGAGAATCTGTCAATCATGTACTATTGCTAGGTGAATTTAATGGTCAATCAGCGTCTCGGAACTTTATGGTCTTGGGGCGCTGAAAATACTGCGCTTTTACAGGCTTCTGAACCCAAGCGCAGGTGCAGACAATGAGAGGGACGATGGCGAACGTAACAAGGAAGATGCAGCTTCCACCAAATTCGGTGAGATCCTTATTTATCTACCCGTTTGCCAGAAGAACATCCCTGTTGTAGGATATGAACATTTCATGTCATGGTTATTGTGACTGTGACGAATCCACCTCCTCGCTTAAAACAACCTCTCTAACTTTGCGCGCCACACACACGTTCCTGTTATACTGTGTTTGTGAGGACCAATACACTCGCGCTGAGACCAGTAGCTCCATGAACTTAAAACACACAAGCTGTTCCTGGTTACCTGCTGGCGTATTGAGGGTGCACACTTAATATTTCAGTGGGGTTAGCCGTGTGTGTGTGTGGGGGGGGTGTGTGTCTGTGTGTGGGTATGTGGGGGGTGTGTGTGTGTGTGTGTGTGTGTGTGTCTGTGTGTGGGTATGTGGGGGGTGTGGGTGTGTACGTGTTTATGCTACGGGGACTTGTCATCTTCAGTCTGGCTGCGTCTTTGCTGGGTTCAAATCCAGTTTGGTGTAATTGAATAAGTCAACGAATCTGTGTAAAAGAATTAAGTTGTAAAAATTATTTGTTTTTGTAAATTAATTGTTTGTGGAGGTAATATATGGACAAAACTGATTAATGAGAAGAAATCAGAAATAAGAGAGCCTGAGGTGAGGGGCTTAAACTATTTAATGAGGGCTGTGGGAAGAAAAGCGGCAATTTTTGTTGTCTGTTTCTTTGTTACATTGCTGGTAACTGGAGGGAGGCTGAGGCCCAGAGTATCTGGTATATGTTTAGTTTCTTTTGCACCCTGTTTTGATTTTTTGAGCTCAATAAATCAGCAACACCGGTAACCCGACTGAGCCTGGATTCTTGGAGGCCAAAGAACCCCGTCACAGTGACCCAAATCATCACTGTTATTATATAGTAAATTAAATCATTACTGTTAAATTGTATGTATTGTCCAATTGTTTAATCGAATTCTTATTCCGGATTAGTTGGAGACATACACTAGGCTATATCAGCCCCACCAAAAATATTTTTCACCAGCCGCCACTGGACGCAACGAGAAGCGCGACAGTTCAGTCTAAAGAACATGGCGGCTTCAGCCGATGAAACTAGCGTTAGCGTGGCTATCGAGCAAGTTTTATGGGAATTACAGAGTATTTCTTCACTGAAAGAAGAGCAAAACACTGCTCTGGAGGCTTTTCTCAGAGGAAAAGATGTTTTTGCTCTTCTCCCGACTGGTTTCAGCAAGAGTTTGATCTATCAATTGGCTCCTCTTCGTCGTCGCTCTGTTAGTACGTCATATGCTTCGTTGATCTGATTGGTTTATTTGGCCCGTCTATCACCAACATAGGCCAATCAGCTAACCAGTATTTTCGCCCCTTCCCAAAATTACTTCAACGGAAGGTTTCCAGATGGATAGGCGGAGCAAATCCATCTGACGGAGTCAGGTTAGCAAATTTTATACACTTAATGTGTGGGACGTGTGCTCTAGGAGCCCTGAAGTGGTTCACAGGCGACCCTGGGGGCGTCCAGGTGTGGCCATATTGGGCTAACATGATCAGCTCTATGAACATGTCACGATCATTGTTGCATAATTTTGGTTGGGATGTTGGGGCCTTGTTACAGCAGATTCTAAAAAACCTGGATTTTCTGAACCTGCTCATTTTTGGTTTTAGCTTCAGTAGGATCGTAGAATAAGTTGCATGATAAATGTAGTTTTATTTATTACCTGCAGGTGGAGTTAATGTCACCAATTTACTAAATATCTGTAAACCTGGATGATACCTTCTATAACATCAGATTCTCAGGACTCCATCATCATAGATATACTCCCCAAGGAGCCAGCCAGAAGCTTGAAAAACGCTGAAGGGTCTTTGATCATGTAAATAAAACATAATGACCAAGATTCAGACAAGATGACCGTACTGCCACCATTATTTCAATCAATATATGAAATGTATGAAGTTGGTCGCAAGAGGTAATTACTAAAAAATGAAGTCATTTTAAATCCATGATTTAGGTTTAGGCTTCATATCCACCGATGCTAGTGTTAGGGTTAGCCTTAAGGGGCGGGGATAAACCACACAGATTTAATGAGGTTTTGTTAAGTTCAGGGCCTTAGATTTAAGTTGATCTTAGACTTAGACAACTTTTATTGTAATTTTGTATTCACGGAATGTATACAAGACTAAATTTCATTCTTTACAGCTTTTTCCATTTCCCGATGGGATATATATTTTGCATTGCATTTGCAATATAGACCATCAATTATACAAGGATTCGGTTTGCAACCTGAGTGAAGTTTAAACCTTTAAACCTGTCAGTCACTATGAAGCAAAAATCTTTTCTGTTTAATTGAGTGACGCTAATTTTATTTGATTCGAAAAAGTGGCTCAGTCATCCAGGGGAGGACTCAGAGTAGAGCTGCTGTTCCTCCACATCGAGAGGAGCCAGTTGAGGTGACTCGAGCATTTGGTTAGGATGCCTCCTGGACGTTTCCCTGGTGAGATGTTCCAGACACGTCCCACTGGGAGGAGGCCCAGGCGTGTCCTGGGACTATGTTTCTCATCTGGCCTGGGAACGCCTTGGGATTCCCCCGGAGAAGTTATCCCAAGAGGCTGGGGAGAGGGACGTCTGGGCCTCCCAACTGAGGCTGCTACCCCCGCAACCCGACGCCGGATAGGCGGAAGAAGATGGATAGACAGATGGATGAAGAAGTGGAGGCTTCCGTTAATATGTTCAAAACAAGGGTGCAGAGCTTAAGCATGTGACCCATGCACAGAGGTGGGAACAGCAGTCAGAGTCATACATGTATCCAAAGCTTGAAATTAGAGTTAAAATTAAAACTCTGATCTGCCTTCAGTTTGTAAATAGAATAATTTAATTTAAACTATATATGGCCAAATCAGCAGAATTTCCCTTTCTGTTATAAATCGTAGAAATGTCGGCGCCTTGCCCCAGCGCTGTGGCGCAGAGATGGCCTAGTGCAGGGGTCTTCAAGGGTGTTCCAGGCCAAGGACCCCCAAATTACATACATTGTATGAAACTGTGTTCTATCAAACTGCCTATAGTCGTTCTATTACAGATGGAGTAATGTAATGAAAGTAATCCCTCCCTGGGATTATTAAAGTATTTCTGATTCTGAGTCCTGATTGATGGGACAGGTGTTGTGAAGGAAACGGTGTCCAGCTTGAAAGAGCTCCTGTGTGTCGCTGAATGTGAGCATTGATGACTGAAAGACATCTTCTGCCTCCATTTATCTGTTTACTACAGTCTGTTAAATTCATGTTAATGTGGATTTAAAGACATTTTAATTAGTGGAAAAAATTGCAGGAGGGAATATAAAAAAAAAATCTAATCAACCAAAAGTTTTGCAACCCCCATGCTGTACCTCTGTGGACCCCCTAGGGGTCACGGACCCCCGTTGAAGACCTCTGGGCCTAGTGGTTAGGGCATTGCCCCTCGAATCCAGAGGTTCTGAGCTCAAGCCCCACTCCCACAGACTGCCACTCTGGGTCCCTGAGCAAGACCTTTAACCCCACACTGCCCCCCATGCACCGCACAACGGCAGCCCACTGCTCCCCAAGGGGATGGGTGAAATGCAGAGAGTTAATTTCGTCGCTCTGTACTTGTGCCAAAAAGCAGTAGGGGGCCCCTTGGTGAAGATTTCAGCAGAGGTAAAACAA